ATTGGATAAAGAGTAATTTAAAATGAAAGAGAACTAAAATCATTTTTATTTTATTTTAGTGTAACACTATGTAATTTAAAAGGTCGATTCTGTTAGCCACGGTTAGATAAAGTAAGAATGGGGTGCGCAAAGCAACCCCTAAATGAAGTAGTAAAGAATAGAGCCCCATTCATTTATAACACTCTTATGTTATGTTAGAGCAATAACACTCTCTTCATGCACTCAATATTAAAAAAAAAATCAATTCATAGCTACCGGTTCCCAAGTCATTCCAATTTTTCACATTTAACTTTCAAATTTTCACTTTTCAATTTTTTTCAAAGAGTCTAATGGCCTAATCAAAACCGGACTCTGCATAGGACATCTCCCGAAATCTTCTGACTACTTTCCCTATTTGCCAATCAATCTCCTCAACTGTTTCTCTCAACTTCACTTCAACCGCAGCGTCATAGCTCTCTCGATCCATCTCAACTAGTCTTTCTCCAATTTGCAATTCGATTGTGGAACATATGCTAGGCTTATCGGCACATGTTTTGTTCTTCTTCACCATCGCCTGAGGGTTGAGGCTTTGCATCTTCAATTGATCCTTAGCTTATCAATCGTATGTTACCCGTTGCCTACCTAGTCCTCGATCGGCGCGACACCTCTTATGGCTCTCCGTGTGCCGTAATTGTTCAATTGCCTGGTACATAGTCTAGATATTTTTAATTTGCTTTTCTCTATGAGTTTGAATTACTAGGGAGTTTTACCGTTTAGTTGTTCGATTATAAGCTTTATTTGAGTTTGAATACTAGGGAGTTTTACCGTTTAGTTGTTTTATTTTAAAGCTTGTTTGGATAGGTTTTTATTTGGAGAAGATTATGCTACAATGTTCTCAAAACTAATTTGCAATGAAGTATTAATAGGGTTTAAAACCAGTTTTTAGAATATTCTGCAAATGTGTTTTGCAGCTAGTGTGATTGTTATATACTAACTTTAAGATGAAGATAGAAATGTTCAACCACGTAAAAGAAAAGTTGTAGAGCAGTCCTTACAAATCTGGAAAATGATTGAAATTTATTAACTCTGGATTTTCATAGCAAACATATGTCTTCTAAATTATAGTGGGAATCTAACATACCTTCATTCTAGATAAACCTCATAAACTATGTGTTGAGTTGCACAATAAGAAGAAGAAACTAGAAATGCTATTCATAGCTTTTGTTGGGGATAAGTGGATAACCATCTTGGCCTTCACTATATGTTACCCGGGTACGACAGTCTTCAGAAGTTTGAGATTAGGGTCTGTCCCGAAGAAGCGCCACCTCCGCTGAATCATGTTCTTCGCCCTCGGCCTCGGTCTCAGTCTCGAGCCCTCGACCTCGAGGCAAATTATCATCCCCTCGGCCTAGAGCCCTTGGCCTCGAGCCACTTATCTTAACAAAGCCGTTTTCAAAACAACGCACCCCTTGTATTCCGCTTATTTCTATGGATTTAAGTAAACTACCACACAACCCTGACATCTTATCGACCCCTTCGACGCCAAATTGCCAGGTATGGCCGATGATGTCTAAAGATGAGGGGCCTGCAAAAGGGACGCATTTTTGGAGCGGGACGCTCACCACGTCACCGGCGCGCAACGCACAGCCACAGGCCTGAAAGAATGGCTGAGGTGACGAAATCCCCACACTTGGGGGTGAAACGGCGGTCGTCGGAAACCGACCAAACCTAGCCCGCACCGTAAATAGACGACGGGACCCCCCAAGGACAAGGGACAGTTCAGCGTCGGGGGACTAACAGACGAACCCCCAGACGAATCACTTGGCCCCCCTTCCGGCCGAGGCGGGGAAGCAACCCCCTCGGCCGAAGCCGGAAAGAAGGAACACACATCAGGAGGACTAACATACGACCTCCTGACACAATCAAGGGACAGCCCAGCGCCGGGGGACTAACAGACGAACCCCCGGACGGATCACTTGGACCCCCTTTCGGCCTAGGCGGGGAACCAACCCCCTCGGCCGTAGCCTGAAAGAAGGAACATACACCCGGAGGACTAACACGCGGCCTCCCGGAACTATCAAGGAACGGCCCTCGGCCTCAACATGAGTCTACATCACGAAACGGCCCTCGGCCTCAACCTGATTATACATCACGAACGGACCTCGACCTCAACATGATTCTACATCACCAACGGCCCTCGGCCTCAGCCTGATTCCACATCACAACGTCCCTCGGACTCAACATCACAACGGCCCTCGGCCTCAGCATGACTCTACGTCACAATGGTTTTGGCCTTTTAGCGTGATTTCACATCACAAACGGCCCTCGGCCTCAGCGTGACTCTACATCACGAACGGCTCTCGATCTCAACGTGATTCTACATCACCAACAGCCCTCGGCCTAAGCGTGATTCCACATCACAACAGCCCTCGGCCTCAATGTCACAAATGGCCCTCGGTCTCAGCGTGACTCTACATCACGAACGGCCCTCGACCTCAACGTGATTCTACATCACGAACGGCCCTCGACCTCAACGTGATACTACATCACAACGGCCCTCAGCCTCAACGTCACAACGGCCCTCGGCCTCAGCGAGACTCTACATCACGAACGGCCCACGACCTCAACGTGATTCTACATCACAACGGCCCTCGGCCTCACCATCACAACGGCCCTCGGCCTCAGCGTGACTCTACGTCACAACGGTTTTGGCCTTAGCTTAATTTCACATCACGAACGGCCCTAGGCCTCAGCAAGACTCTACATCACGAACAACCGTCGACCTCAACGTGATTCTACATCACCAACGGCCCTCGGCCTCAGCGTGACTCCACATCACAACGGCCCTCGGCTTCACAATCACAGCGGCCCTCGGCCTAAGCATGACTTTACGTCACAACGTTTTTGGCCTTAGCATGATTTCCCATCACGAACGGCCCTCAGCCTCAGCGTGACTCTACATCATGAACGGCCCTCGACCTAAACATGATTCTACATCACCAACAGCCCTCGGCCTCAGCATGATTCCGCATCACAACGGCCCTCGATCGTACATATTTCCGACATCAAATATTTGATATCGGGGGCCATCATACAGGCCCTTCGGCCTTCGCCCCTTCGGCATCTTTATTTGATGTCGGGGCTATCATACAGGCCCTCGGCCTTCATCCCTCCGACATCTTTATTTGATGCCAGGGGCTATCATACATGCCCTCGGCCTTCATTCCTCCGACATCTTTGTTTGATGTCAGGGGCTATCATACAGACCCTCGATCTTCATCCCTCCGGCATCTTTATTTGATGCCAAGGACTATCATACAGGCCCATCTGCCTTCATCCCTCCGGCATCTTTATTTGATGTCAGGGGCCATCACACAGGCCCCTCGGTTTAGCTTTCATCCCTCCGGCATCTTTATTTGATGCAAAGAGCTATCATACAGGCCCATCGGCCTTCATCCCTCTGGCATCTTTATTTCATGTCGGGGGCCATCACACAGGCCCATCTGGCCTTGCACCCCTCCGTCACCTTTATTTGATAACGGGGGTCCTTACAGGCTCCTCAGCTTTTTCATGCAGGATCTAAGGCTGGTGTTGGATATCCCCTCAGCAAACGGACACAACCATCGCTTAACAATCTAGGCTGAAGGGTGCATTCCTTTTGCTTCATTCTGGGGGCATTCGGTGTACTCTTTTTCCCTCAATAGGATTTTTTCCCACAGGGTTTTTTCCTAATGAGGTTTTTAACGAGGCATCTCCCCATTGTGGAACAAAAGGCGTCACCCCTCGGCGGCTCCTGCTGAAGGCATGCATCACTCTACTCCTATTTCCCTCGAGAAACTCTCGGCAAAAAGGAGTGGGGGACTGAGGGACTCCCCTCGGCAAAACACGCAAATGTTAAAAATTTTCTATTTCTCAGCTACAGCAAGCTGAGGCAAGATCACAACGACAATCTACTCCCTTCAGCAAAAATAATCAAACTTAAAAATTCTTATTCTTCAGTTGCAGAAAGTGAGCCATCGGCAACTTCAAGACACTACTCCCATTTCCCTCGAGAAACTCTCGGCAAAAGGAGTAGGGGACTCCTGATGGAGTATATGGCCTGGGACACCCCGGCCCATAGACTCCTGCTTCTTCTACACAGGCCCATCGAGCCCGATGAGCACACAAAGCCCAAACGTACCGGCCCAAGCATGAAGAAGCCCACGCTGCACACGTGGATGCCTTCAGCCATATGGCCGAGGGCTCCAAATTCTGGGAGACATCTTAATATGGTCCTACAAAGCTTCTGGAAAATCCTGGCTAAAATGTTAGCCTTCGGCCACCCGATGCCTTTGGCCCCCCCGATGCCTTCGGCCACATGATACCTTCGACCACCCGATTCCTTCGGCCACCCGATTCCTTCGGCCACACAATGCCTTCGGCCACCCGATGCCTTCGGCCCCCGATGATGCATAATTTTTAAATTTTGAAATTTTTTCTACATATATTGTAAATGTTTATATTTTTTATAGGTCTGTATTTTTTCTATATCTTACTTAGTTTTTTTTAAAACAACCACTTTTCTTAGAAGTTTTGGATTCTTACATTTTTATATAATTATTTTGTATTTACAATTTTTACTTCTGTCAAATATAATTTTTTATATTTTTTACAGTTTGTAATTTTTACAAGTGTATATTACCTAGTTTTTAAAAAATGCATTATGAAAAATTAGTTTTTATGTTTCCACACATTTTTAACTTTCTTAAACATTTTTATATTTTATTATTTACTTTTGTATTTCTAGAACTTTATGTATTATTATTTTAAATGAATTTTACTATTTTACGTAGTACATGTTTATTTGCACTTCTCTGATTCATTTTTTAATTTACATTTTTTTGACAAATTTCTGTATTTTTTTAAATTTTTGAATTTTCCTATTTTGGACTTTCATTTTTTTCGGAATTTATTGTTTTTTGTTTTTAACTTTTTGATCAATCTTAACATTTTTTCCGATTTTTATATTATTGTACATTTTCAAAATTTTCTTTTATTTTTATTTTTAATTGTTTTAATACTTTTTACATTTTCGTATATAATACAATTTTATTTTTAATTATTTTGATATTTTTAGAATTCCATTTTTCTTATGCATTTTTACAATTTTTCTATTTAAAAACTTAAATTAAGCAAATCCTAGAGCATAGCTTGTACTCCGTATTATTTTATCAAACAGGTGCACTAAAGAGGAATCTTGATGTGCGCTTCTTCAGAATTTCTTCGGAGTAGATTCCGGGTGAGTATTATGCTTTTACATGAGCACTTGGTCTATTTGTGAAAGAAAAAGTCAATTAGTCTATTTTTGAATACAAATCTAAAAAGTGTAAATTAAAAGTAATATTACTTTCATGTTTAAGGTTGCTTGTGATATTTTCCCTTATTAATTTTATCTAGTTGTCTTCATTGCTTTGGGGGGAGTTCTCCCCTTTTACCATTTGATTCTCTTCCTTCATTAGAGCATATACCCCGTTCTCATTCTAAGTAAAATATTTTTATTTCTCAAAGAAAAGGTCCTATTTTGGAAATCAAACTTACTTCCGAAGTATGAATGATCGGACTTTTTTTTTGAATTAATGCTAATTAATTAATTAATTACGAAAATAATGTTGGGTTAAAAGTATTTATTGATATACTGCTGCGATTAACCATGGTCGGGGTAAGTCGCCAAACGCTTGGGCGACTTATAAGTCGCCATCCGGTTTGGCGACTAATAAGTCGCCCAACCGTTTGGTGACTTACCCTTAAATTAAAACGCCGGGCCAAACTACGCCACAGACAGGTAAACAAATTAAAACGCAGCGCAACGAGGATGAGCGAGGACGAGCGAGGAGCGACGAAAACAGGTTCCAAGTCCGGCGAAACTCAGGCGAGGCCTCCCTATCTTGTCAATACTACTTCACTTCCATCTTCTTCAACACTCTAGGTAAACAAATATCTCCAATTTATCTCATTTTTCACTTTAGGGTTTAGAATATAGAAAATTGGATTTTGTAAATTAGGAATTCATTTTTGAATTGATTTATTGTGTAATGTGAATATGTATGAAGTGTTGAATGTTGATGTTGAATTCATTGTTATATAATTGTTTTTAAACTTTGTTATGTAATGTAGATTTGGAGGTATGAATTGAACTTTGTTAAATTTTTGAACTTTATTAATGCTAAAAAAACTCAAAAATTAGAATGTATTATTATTTTTAAATGTTATATTTTTCCATTTTTAAGTGTATATATATCATATAGGATTTGCTTAATATGTTGTGATGTCTATGAAATGATTAATTTGGGTGTATGAATTGTGTATATTAATGTGTACTCATGAAAGTTGGACATGTATTGTTATTAGAATATGGATTTCTCAAACTTTCCAATCGTGTGTCATTGGGGAGGGAACATATTTGAGGAAGGTGGGCCAAATACGCAATGAAGGTGGTAGAAGCAACTTTGTCATTGTTTCTCATGGTGCATGTTTGGTCGAGATGCTGCAAAAAATCCATGCAGCTACAATGATTCCTCTGAGCCGTTGTTTGCGATTGGAAATGAAATTTCCCATGAACGGGGGAAATTACATTCTTATGCCACTTCTTGATGAGCTAGCTGGATCAAATATGTGGTTGATAATTCAGATGGAGAGTATGTCCACGCTGGAGATATACATTGAGGAATCCATATCTTACTATTCTGCTACTCCATCAACATCAAATTTTGTTGTACCTAGGCATGGTGTCAATGCAGGGAGCTCCTCAAATGTTGTTGTACTGGAAATTGTTATAGAGGAAGAGGGTAGGTATGTGCACAATGGTGCATCATTTGTGGATGGGCAGGGAAGTGATGATGATGCTGACGATAACATCATCGGTGATGACATGACATAATCTGATGAAGATGATGGTGATACTGTCACGGCAACTGCCCCGTCTAGCCGATGTGTGGATGAGCGGAGCAGGTATGAAAAGGTTTACACCCGAAGGTGAGTTTGAGGTTGGTCAACAATTTGACAACAAAGAACAAGTCCTCAATATGGTGAGCTTGTATTCTATTAAAAGGAACCAATTTTATCGGGTGTTGGAGTCCGATAAACACAAATGAGTTGCAGAGTGCAAGAGGAAGAAGGAACGTGATTGCCCCTAGAGAATACGCGCCACAAAAAACAAAGGCAACCTCGACAGCTTCACAATTGTGCGTTATCCTGGACCTCATTCTCCTAGCTGTGTTGGCAACACGGACAATACTGATCACGTGGCGATGACTTCTGATTTCATTCCTAAAGATGTGATTGACATTCTTCGCACTGATCTTTCCCTTAAAGTGCATACTATCATTGAGCTGTTGAAGGAAAAGTATGGGTATACGGTATCATACATGAGAGCATGGATGGGCAAACAGAAGGCCATTGCAGAAATTTTTTACGATCGGGAGAAGTCATATTCTGAAATGCCACATTTCATGACAGTGCTCCAACATTCCAATCCTGGAAGTGTTGTTCACTGGTACCCACCCCCTATTACTCCAACAGGATATATGCAATTTCAGATAGTATTTTGGGCATTCAAGCCTTCAATACATGGTTTTAAGCATTGTCGACACGTACTTACTATTGATGGCACACACTTGTATGGGAAGTACAAGGGTACATTGCTTGTGGCTATGGGTAGTGATGCGAACAACCAAATATTTCATGTGGCCTTTGCTGTTATTGAATTTGAGAATGGGGAGAGTTGGCCATGGTTTATTGGATGCATTAGGGAGTTTGTCACTAATAGGGAGTTGTGTGTCATTTCTAATCGACATGTAGGTATAGTCAAGGCTATGAATGAGGTGGGCAGTACTTGGGAGGAGCCTTATGCGCACCATAGGCAATGTATCCGCCATCTTGCATCGAATGTTCACACTCATTTCAAAGACATTCACCGAAAAATCTGTTTGTCTGGACCGCACGGCAACATCCGAAAAAGAAGTTTGATGGTGGGTTCAAGAAGATAGGGGAAATGCGGGTGGAGGCGCGACAATTTTTGGGGAACATTCCCTTGGAAATGTGGTCATTACACCACGATGGCGGATATAGATACGGTACAATCACTTATAATCTGGCTGAGGTTTTCAACAGCATGATGAAAAATGCCAGATATTTGCCCATCACCGCTTTGGTCCAGGTTTCCTTTTTCCGCGTTAATGCTTATTTTGTTAATAAGCGTGCGAGCAGTAAAGCAAGAGTGACTGAAGGCCATGAGTACTCTCCACACATAACGAATTTGATTGAAAAGAATAGAGAGAAGGCGAAGCATCACAGTGTTACTCCATATGATATAGCCCGAGGGATATACCAGGTGGAAACAGGATGTGGTGGCCGAGCGTTGGGAAAGCGTGGGAGAAAACAAATTGTCCATCTGCGGCGGCGTACTTGCACCTGTAAAAAGATGAAAATGTATAAGATTCCATGCTCTCATGTATTAGCCGTGTGCAGACAACGTAGTTTGCCTTCTCATCCATTTGTGTATCCATTTTTCTCATCTGAACAATACGCCGTCACATATCAAAGAGTCTTTAAACCCATTCCTGACCGTGATTATTGGCCGACTTACTATGGACCTGAAATTGTGCATGATCCATCCATAGTTCGGGCTAAGGGAAGACCTAAGTCCACACGTTTTAAGAATGAGATGGATGAAGGTCCCCGAGGAACGGTTAGATGTGGAATATGTAAACAAACCGGCCATAATAGGGCCACATGTGCAAAGAGATCATGAAGAGATGGAGGGAGGTCCACTGGGTAAAGTCCAAATTATAATATTCCACATTTGATAGTAACGGTGCATGAAAAAAAATAATTAGTAAAATGTTAATTAAAATAAAATAAAATAATACAGAATTAAAAATTAACTAATATCCTTTTATTTTTTGTAGGCATGGAGGTGTCAGCGGATCCTAGGCCAAGTGATCGTTCTGTCCTGGCGTAGGCGTAGGCAACAACAACAACATTTTCATGACCAAGATGATCAAGAAGACCATGAGAACTTGTAGTTTGTCTTTTGTATTGGAGTTTTTCTTGTACACTAGATGTTGTAGGAAGAATTGAATTTATTTTACGTATTTCCACCTGTAAACTCTTTTATGATGTGTTGATGTGTTCGATTATGAATAGGAAAAATTGAAAATAATAATCCCAATTATTGCCAGCCCGCTAAAAATAATCTCAACTATTGATTATTTTTGTATAATCCCAACTATATGGACTGTCCACCAATAATGGTCCATGACCGCATATTACATGTTCTAACAAGTGAATTTTTAATAGAAATTAAACGTAAAAATTAAAATTTGGGATTATTTATAGGGATGACATGCTATATCTCTTTAGAAACTATAGGAATTTATTTATAGTTGGTCACGCTGGACCATTATTGGTGGAGGGTCCCTAAAGTTGGGATTATTCTGAAATAATCAATAGTTGAGATTATTATGAGCGGACCACCAATAATTGGGATTATTACAATCAATTTTTCCTTATGAATATTACATGACTATTGTGTTATGAATATTGGGTTATTGTAATGTGTTGTATCTGGTTCGTAACCCCTAAATAGGAGAAGTGAGACCTTGTTTATAGTAAGGGGTAAGTCGCCAAACGACCCAAACGGTTGGACGACTTATAAGTCGCCAAACCGGATGACTACTTAGAGCATCCACGATGGGTGGATGTCTAGTCTAGGTAAATTGTGCTAGCTCATGAAATTAGTAGGGGTGGGCAAAAGACCCGGTCCCGTTGGTCCGTTCCGGAATGTTCCGGTTCCGTTCCGAAATTGTCCTGTTAAATTCGGGACAAACTATTTTTGTCCCGCTCCAGTCCCAAACCGTTTCAAAACAAAACGGGACCGGGATAAATAAAATATGTCCCGTTCCGTCCCGTTGTTCCGAATTCAAAATTGTATATAGTTGTGGGTTAGTGAGTCTACCATCAATTCAAATACTAATGAATATTAATTAGGTATTAGTTATCTAATATATAAAACACATAAAGGAGTTATTGTTGTTATTATGGTTTGTTTCGTGCAACTATCCTATTAGTCTAATATATTTTGTGTTGCATTTATCGTAAATTTTTGTATGTGTTGCATTTTTAGTGTTGTAGTTTTTGTCATTAAGTTTCTTTTTGGAGCTGTATTTTTTTTCGCTGCAATTTTTTCGGATATCCCGAACCGTCCCGTTCTGTTCCGGTACCGATTTAAAAGGGACACTACAACAAAATTGAGCTTTTGTAACACATAAGTCGTAACACTTCTTATTGGTGTTGCATATTGTATTTAACACTAAAATATTGTAACACTTATTTACAAATGTTACATAAACATAAGAATGGTACAATATGCAACATTAATTAAAATGTATTGCATATAATTGAATATTATGTAACATTTAGTGTTAAATTGTTACATAAAATAGCAGATACTATGTATTATTTGTGTAACATAATGAGAAAGTGTTACATGTGATTGATTTTTCAATTTTCATATATAATTAACTTTTAATTATTTATAGATACGGCGGGTATATTTTCATAAATTATACCCTTATTATATTACTAGTATATCGACTCCAAAAAGAGGGTTCTCTTCAAACCCAACTCCGTACACCTCTAATCTATCAACAGGCCGACAAAGTTCTACTCCATAATACAACCTGCTCCTTAAGTCTGCCCAAACCTTTTCTATGCCCTAGATGGCCACCAGTTGCAAACCGCGCAAGAATTGCCACCGCTTGCACTCCGCTCAAGAGTCGCCAAGGCCTGCGTTCCGCTCGAGAATCGCCACCGGCTGCGCTCCCCTCAAGAATCGCCACCGGCTGCGCTCCCCTCAAGAATCGCCACCGTCTCCGCTGCGCTCAAGAATCGGTACCGGCTCCGCTGCGCTCAAGAATCGGCACCGGCTGTGTTCCGCTCAAGAATCGCCACAATATGTCTACTCCGATATTAAATGGGCATAGGTAAGCATTTTACCTCCATCCTTAACCATCCAACCCTTGCTATTTTTCTTCTTCTACGCTTCCATATATTGGGTAATGGCCTAATGAATTTGAGATTAGATTTTATATGATTATAATTGCACTTTTACTTCAGTAGTAGTTTGATTTATGATTAGGGTATTTATCATCTTTCCTAAAGAGCCTCAATTACCATAACATTTTCTTTTTGAATAAAAATATCTTTAATTTATTGTTCATATTTGCCTAATTAAACTAATTATTGATTTGCTATGATATGAGCCTCTTATGAAAATCAAATATAATTAACAGAACCTATTCAAAATATGCGTTCACTTTTTTTTGGTAAATAGAATTTTAGATTTCTCTTGTAAATCATGATCGAATACGTGATTCATTAGAACTATTGTACGATTTTCATATAGCTCATTGATTATATTTATGAAGAAACCAAAGGCAGTATATAGAAACTAGAGTGAAGAAAGTTTTTTTTTAATTCCTCTAGTGTGTTGATTTCTTAATTATCCAAATAAAAAATTAAACTCACCAGACAAGGGTGTATACTGTATATTAACTGATTAGTAGAAAGCATCTGGTGCTTTTTAAGACGCCTGCAGATGGATATAGTCTTCTTGGGCAAAGGTCAATGGGCAAATATTTTCCTTTCTTGTGTGCTTCCCTTTAACTCTTAGCTTACATTTGAGAATCACAACTAATACTACTTATCCAATTGACTCCCTTATCAGTTTGTTGTGTCAAGTTTTGGTATCAAACTGAAGTAATTTTAGTTAACCAGTTGGTTAATTGTGTTTATGTAATAACTATTTATTTTTAGTTTGTCCAGTTTATTTATTTATTTATTTATTTATTTATTTTCTCTTTATAATATATGTCTACCCACCAAGCCATTGTTTCTTTAAATCTACTTCTTATTTTAATCATAATGAGATACAAAATAGACTTGAATAGCTGACATATATACCTTTTACTAATTATAAAAAGATATACATGGTTTCATTAATCAAATCATTAAAGGAATATTGAGAAAAATAAAATTTAGGATATATTTTCTATGCCTAGAAAAATGTGATCTAATCAGACTGATTAGATTCTTTATGATAGTATCTAACTTTTTTGTGTATGAGATGTACCATATGATATTTTTTGACCACATGTAATAGAAAACATTAAAAAATAATCTTATATAATTTTTACCTTGCATTGGTCTGACCACATGTAATTAGACTGAAGGGTAAATTTTATAGGACAACAATTAGGCCTGCATTACTGTATGGCGTAGAGTGTTGGGCAGTGAAACACTGTCACATTCATAAGATGAGTGTGGCAGAGATGTGCATGTTGCGTTGGATGTGTGGGCATACTAGGAAGGACCGCGTGAGGAATGAGACAATCAGACAAAGGGTGGGAGTAGCACCTATTGAAGACAAGATGCGGGAGTCGCGCCTACAGTGGTTTGGTCATGTGCGTAGAAGACCAAGTGATGCACCTGTTAGGCGAGTTGAGATGTGTGGAGAAGAGGCAGGGAAGAGAGGGAGAGGAAGACCCAAACAGACGTGGGTTAGGGGAGTTCGAAGTGATATGCTTCTTCTGGGGTTGGATGAGGACATGACTTTGGAGAGAATTAAGTGGAGGGCGGGTATTCACGTGAAGGAGTGATCTTGATAATCTTTTTCCCTCATCTTTTTTTTTTCCTAGTTTTTTTCCCTTATATATATAAGCATTATTTTCAGCCTTTTTATTTTATTATTTATATATATATTCATCTTTTTTTATATTATCTTTTCATAATAGCTTATCTTTTTATCTTTATTCCTTCTTTTCCTTTTTGTTGTGATATCATGTATCGATTCATGTTAGCCGACCCCAATATCTTTTGGGACTAAGGCTTAGATGTTGTTGTATTGGTCTGAAAAGAACTTGTGGTAACTTTTAAATTTGATCCACTTAGATAATGATATTTTTGCTTGCAGTGCGTTCTTGAAGGCATTTGCGCTTTTTTGTTCACACATTCTTAAACTATAACACTAGATATATTCTTTTTTTCAGTTCTTATAACTATGTGATTTTAATTTGTTCTCTTACTGTTTCGAAATTTGTTTATGCAGTTTAGAATAGTTTTGATTGTAGATATTTATCGAGCAATCTACCCTTCCGAATGGTGAAGAATATACCCTTATCAACTGCATACAAAGTCACACACAAAAAGGGACAATCTACTATAATGATAACTTGAAATTTGATCCCCTCTTATTGTGTCACTTTAAGACTTTATGCATTAATAAACTTATAGAAATAAAAAATGTGGATTATCACTTATTTCAATGATAACTTATATATTATTAGTTGAATTATCTGCCCCGGTTGCATTATGTTTTAGAGGAAGTTCACTTGCTCATAAATCACTAATGGTTATACTTTTGTTATGAAGACACTTCATGTTTATACTTTATATAATGACCACTTTGTGTAAAGTGTAATTTGTGAATCTTTGATATATCCTCTAGGCTCATTAGTCATTCACCGGTACAATTATGAGCACTTTGAGAAAGCAGTTCGAAGAAGAAAATGAGGAAAACAAGCATTCATTTTTCTGGTTTTTAAGAAGGTATGTTTATTGATAAGCAGATCATTGCTCGTTTTGACCTATATGGTAATGCAAAGTGTGAAGTATGTGTATTGTCTTGGCTTCTTTTAGGTAACAATGCCCAGAAATATAGCACTACTACATCTTCAAAGGAGAGGTTGATGAAATTGGAAGACCTAGAAAATAGTTGGCCAATGAAAATGACCTAAATTTTGAGTGTGAAATTGTTGAGGTTCGGGAACAATTCAATGCTGCAAAACAGAATTTCCTGAAGATACCAGATTCTTTAAAAGATATGCTTAAAATGAATCCCAAAGGTCCTTTCTTTTTTCTTTTTTAGTTTTTAATCCATGTTTTCTATTGTAGTTGAGGATTACACTCATAAGCTCTGTCTTTATGCAATTATTATAAGAAGATACATCAATAAGAACCTGCAACTAGATAATATAGAAGCATACAAATTTGATTATTATTATACATTGGCAAATTATTCTTCTAAGTTGTATATCTTAATATATGACCTGCCAAAGCAGCATCTAGTTAATGTATGAGATCAATTTTGACATGGATTTGGTTCTAGTGGGATGCTTGCATTATGTAAGGGTT